CACGAAATAAATCCCACGTAATCTCCTCATCGTCGACCTCAAGAACTTGCCTCATGCTGACCCACCAGTCATCGGCCTCTTCTCTCAGCATGTGAGTCCCTAGTCTCACCTTATTCCCTTCAGCACAATCCATCACCCTAAAAATTCTCTCAATTTCCTTTAACCATATCTGAGCACCATCCGGATCAAATCTCCCTTTAAACACCGGTGGTTGGTTCTTCCTGAACTCATCATTCGCATTCACGTTAGGTGCACCCTGCACAGCTCTGGCCATAGCCTCTAACGCTGCTGCCATAGCATTGTCATTACGACCTGCCATATTCTGAGGATTCCCAAAAATAACAACAAGGTTAAACAACCGTTCAACCAACACAACAACAAGACAGACACGACTGACTCAACACTGGCTCTGATACCACTTAATGTAACACCCCCTTTTTATACCCCCAAATAAATTAAATAAATCAATTAGGCACTTAGAAAATTTATTTCATCAGAGTTTGATTAAAACATGGTATAAAAGAGGCGCATCACATTATCATGAAATTAAACACATACGATACCTGCTCAAAATAGATATGCAACAATGGGTAACCCACATCTCAATATTTAGAATAAAGCGGAAACATCCAAATATTGAATCAATCACATTCATAAAGGTATATACAACCATCAGTTAATTCATGCTTTACAACATATCCACAGCAGATACATACACATATGTATCACAAAAGAATCAAAACAAATGTAACTCCAAAAGAGTCAAAGGCTTCCTAACTACCCAGATGTTACATATCAGAGCCATTGACCAAAAAGAATGAAGACATCGCTTCACAAAAGAACCTCCAGCTTCCTACTCTGCAATGCCTCATAGAGCATTATAAAACAGCAGAAGGGTGAGAAACAACATCATAACAGTTAATGCATAAAATTGTATATATATATATACATAACTCCATAATTACACAAGTTATACTCAAATTATGTTCTCACCACATTAAGCATATACAAATAATCATGTCTCTACACATACACATGAACATTCACTATATTTCCTCCAAACAATCACATATAACATACACAGTTATATTCACACAACCAATGCATCATACACAGATGACTCATGCAACTCATAGAGACCGACACACGACCCTATGCAGATGCAAATGCGGTACCGACTCATTCAACAAATTCCCTAAGGAATCGAGTATTCAGCAGATCCTCCACGGGATCAAGTACTCAGCAGATTCTCCACGGAATCAAATATTCATCAGATTCTCCACGGAATCGAATATTCAGCAGATCCTCCACGGGATCAAGTACTCAGCAGATTCTCCACGGAATCAAATACTCTAACTAATCCTCCACGGGATTACATGTTATGACCAATTCTCCGAGGAATCACACAATGCAACCGATTCTCCAAGGAATCAAATATAACCATCGTATCATACGAGGTTCTGCAAATCCTCCGAGGGATCAATCGACACAAAAATGCATACTATGCTCACAAACATATTCATTGCATTTATCACATACATCGCATATATCTATCATGCATTCACATTATGCACCATTCCACACATGGTTTACACACATATCAGCCTATCAATGCATTTCTATTCAATTCGAGCAAATACACAAGATTATCAAATATTCAAGATTTATCATTTACTCTACAATCTAGGATTCACGCCTTTCGGCCACCCACAGCACAACATGTTGAAACAGTTCACACATCAATCATTCATATAGGCATTAATCATAATTGAATCCATCAAACATCATGCCATGAACAAACAGCAAAACAAAATAACACTGCCAGGTTCGCCAACCTTCGCCTGGCGAAGCCACGCAGCGAATGCTCGCTGGCCTTCGCCTGGCGAACTCCCCAGCGAAGTCCACTGGGAGTAACTCTGGAATTACTCGCTGAGGCTCGCTACCCACTCGCCTGGCGAACCTTCGCCAACTCACCTCGCCTGGCGAACTTGCCAGCGAATACAGGGTATTAGCTTCTGACTTGCTTCGCTACAGCTCGCTGGGCTTCGCCTGGCGAAGCTTCGCTGCCATTCGCCTGGCGAACTTGCGAAGACAAAACTTCCATGGCTGTCTCAAAAACCCAAACTCCACACAACCAACCGATTAAATCCAAACCAGTCACAATAGCACAACCCAACCATCACCCGACTAAACTACATCGTCAAATTCAAGTTCTAACCGATTAAAACCTCATTCTACTCACAAAACCAACTTCTAACCTAAGTGGAAAAAGAGTAGAAACTCTACAAAATCCACACACATACACATACAATCATACACATTAAAGAGATGATGGAATTTCACACCCTTACCGATCGATTGCAAGCTTTGGTGATGATTCCTTGATGATTCTAGGTTCTCCTCCCCACTTTCTCTTCTCTTTCTCTTCTCCTCTTTTCTTTCTCTTGCTTTTCTTCTTATGTTACTATCTTCTTCCTTTTTCCTCTCTTATTCTATTTCTATCTCTATTTCTTTCCTCTCAAATTCTTTCCAACACTTATCAATCAATTCTCACACTAAAGTGCTAAATGTCTAAAATGCCCTTTTTACTCTAATTCCCCGAAAACTCTCCGAATCGGTAAAAATAGATAAAATAAGCAAACACCACATAATAACAATATATAATTTCTCAATTTAAACAAACATCAATTAAATAAATTAAAAGACTCAACAATTAATGGGAATTCAGAATCGGGGCGTTACACATAGGGAATGTCCGCCGCCCATAGCTCGAGCAGATGCGATGATGTTCTTTGGGGCGGTACACCTGCCAATCATGCGGATCCCCCTCCTCCCGGTCCTCTACAGTGGCATAGGCACCGGACGGATCGAGCGCGAAGCAAGAAGGGGTGGATATAGGCTCTTCGGCCACCCACTCCTCGACGGGGAGAACCCGCTCGTCAAAATCTGGGATCTCGGGCTCATTGTCTTCGACCATCGTCCCTGGTATGTACACCTGAAAAGCAGAGGATAACGGTGAATTCGATAGCCAGGATCAAATCCACCCTTCCACCGTAGGTCAAGTGAAAGGGCGACGACGACGGGCGAGCGAACAAAAGACGAACACCCGGGCAGGCCCCGAAGGACACTCCCCGCCACTTCTCCACGGGGCATGCAAAGCTAACCTATCGCCCCTCCTCGGGGGTTTCATCGGAGAATGCGCCCATCCCCGGGGCATTCATCGGAGCAATCGTTCCTCCCCGGGAAATTCATCTAAACAACCCTAAAAAACCACCAGATACGGCGGGAACTCGCATCTCTCCTCGGGGCATTCATTATGCCCCGACCACGGACCCAAATTAAACGGCGAAAATAAAAGAAGAGAAGAAGAAAACTCACTTTATAACAGCGAGGAATGGGGTGCAAAACTAACGGCACGACGGCGATTCACAGCAACGGCAGACGAGGAGGAATTACAGAACTTCGCAGGTGAGAAAGCAAGGTGAAAAGTAAAAAATGCTCGGGGACCCCCATATTTATAACCCGGCGCAGAACTCGAAGCGACGCTAGGCCTTTGAGTGCCCTAGGGTAGCCGCCCTCGCGCCCACTCGGCGCGTAACACGTGGCGGTAAGCTGACAGTCGCGTCCCTTCAGTTGCCTTTGCCCCGCGCGCCCGACGACCGGAAGAGACCTTCGCGCACACGCGTCCCGCCGAGCACAAACCGGCGAGCCACCCGCCTCGCTATCTCTTTCCCCGAAGCAACGGCCTTAAGTCCTCGCTCTCTCGCCAAAGAGCTTCGACTTGGGGGGCTCCTGTTCTGGCCTGGGCCCAGCCTCGCCTCACGGCCCAACCCAATAACGCTCATTCAAGGCCCAATGAGTTGAGTAGCCTGGCCGGTCACACGCCCCCTGCCGAGCAGGACATGCTCCCTGCCAAGCAGGACAACGTGCTTCTAAGCGCCCTCGGCGCTCCCCCTAGCCAGACAGAACAACCCTCCACGGGCAGAATCCCCCCGTCACCGAGCAGGACGATATGTCTCCCCCCGCTCTCGTGTGCTCCCCTCCGCGGGGAGAATCACACACCTCCGGGGAACCTCCCGAGCTCTCCTCCGCGGGGAGAACAACGTGCCGTGCGCACGTTCTCCACGTGCTCCCCTCCGCGGAGGCACGTCATCCCCCAACTGCCCACCTCCGAAAGAGCAGGTCAAACCCACTTTCCGGAGACCACGAGACAGTTGGACTAGGGCGAAGACCACGTCCCCGTTTTCACTACGCCACGTAAGCCCTAGCAGTCACCTGGGTTGGCCCTGGCCATCCAGCCCAACGCAAGTGACCGTTGGCCCAACGTTGGGGTCTCTCTATAAATACTTTCTTCCTCAAGAGGGTCAGGTAATTGACATCTTCCCCTTTCTGTACTTTGCCATCACTCTGCCCAATTCCTTATTTTGGCATCAGAGTGTCTTGCAGGTACACCCCCTTCTCCTCTCCAGCACCGATGAAAAGGTAGTAGTCCAACAGCGTGTGACCGGCTCGTGATCCCCTCCTGATCAGGTCAGATCAAAATTGAAATAAATCTAAATAAAATATCAAATAATAATGTTCAAAAATATTATATTTCTAATTTCGTATTTATTTTCTCATTTTTCTTATCCTTTATCCTTACCATTAATTTTAATTTGATAAACTTAGTTTATATACAACTATAATCTTATTACTTATCATTATATTATATGATTAATCAATTTAATTCAACCCATGCGTTACACTTTATATATAGGTAATTCTCTTAAAATAATTACACAATTTATTTATTCTTTAAATTTAGCAAAACAATTTATAAATGGTTAATTTTCTGACGGGTGTGTGCATAACATTGAAAGCCCAAAGTTTCAATTTATTTGGACCGGGCCGTGTTATGTTGGATAAAACCCTATTATCATATAAGTTCTCTCTTTCGCTGCCTCGCACAAATTAGGGTTTAGTTTCAGAGAGAGTAAGAGAGAGAAGAAGAAGCAGCAACCATGGAAAAGCTCGAGCAGGTTCAATGTTTCGGCCGCAAGAAGAACGCCGTCGCCGTCACCTACTGCAAGCGCGGCCGTGGTTTAATCAAGATCAACGGCGCCCCCATCGAGTTGGTCGAGCCAGAGATCCTTAGGTTCAAGGCCTTTGAACCAATACTCTTGTTAGGAAAGAGTAGATTTGCTGGAGTGGATATGCGCATCCGGGTTAAGGGCGGTGGTAAAACCTCCCAGATTTACGCCATCAGGCAGAGCATTGCTAAGGCGCTGGTTGCTTTCTACCAGAAATATGTTGATGAACAGAGCAAGAAGGAGATCAAGGATATTCTTGTGCGATACGATAGGACTTTGCTTGTGGCTGATCCGAGGCGGTGTGAGCCAAAGAAGTTTGGTGGGCGTGGTGCTCGTGCAAGGTTTCAGAAATCTTACCGTTGAATTGTTTATTCGGGAAGAGAAAGAAGGAGGTGTTTTTGTTCTTTTTTGTTTCAGTTTTCGGTTCATGTTTTATTTTATGCCGTGGAAAACCTTTTCTGTTATTCCTAGTACTGTTGTTTTAGTTTAAGTTTTTATTTAGAGTCTTGGATGTGATAACTATCATATAAATCTATGTTTTTTTGGTAATGAATCTCTGATTATCTTTTATGATTTATGATGCATCTATTTCTGGTGATTTTGGTTTGTCTATGTGGATTACATATTGCATAATCAAGCTCTTAGTTATGCTTACCTTTACTAGTTGTACAGCTTACGATATGGTTGTGTTTAAATTTGTTTAGTAACAGGTTATGGGTTTAGAATCAGTGTTAATAATTTGTTGAGTTTTCAGAACTTTGAAACTAAACCAACTAATTGGTATTATTTCCCTTTGAATTTTTTTACCTAAAAATTTGTTGTTCTCTCTTTGCAAATTTTCTACCACATTCGCAAACCATGAAACATCCATTCTTCCACATTCCTCTTCACCTAATTTTTTTTCACTTTCTCATCCTTTCACATGTATTTCTCTTTTGTTTTGATGATTTCTCATCTATTAACAATTATGGCATCATGTTCTGCAAACTAAACATTCAACAACAGAGGTTTTTCTAAACCTATTGGTGACAATATTGATATATAGGGTGACAGTATTGATGTTGGTGACAGTATTGATATATAGGGTGACAGTAGACCATTTTTATCAGTTCATGATTAGCTTTAAGCAGCATTCTATCAATACTACTTTTAGTAAGTTATTACTACTGTTTTTTAAGGCTTTCTTTGGAATGATGGAATAGAATTGGACCTCCGATTTGAGTGAAATGAACAATTTACCAATTTACCTTATTCCTTTGTATAATGTATAAAATGAATCTTTCCTTATACTAACTCTCTGCAGCTCAATTTCGTTCCTTTTATTTTATGATATCCAACAAATTCAAGTACACATCTCTTATAAGTTGAAGCTTTACCACACTTGATCAATTTGTGCGAACGAATTTGAGGTACGATACAGTGGTTATTTGGTGTTCAATAATCATACTTTATAACTGAACAACAGAAGCAAGTGTTAATAACTGAAGGATCATTTCATTTTGTTATATTTTTGGCCATCACGCAAAAACTGTATTACAAACCAAACTCAGTACATATATTTATCAACCTGTTTAATCTGAAATTCCAACAAAGCAAAGAATTTACATGTACCCCAGCAATATATGCAAGGTTTATTTCCTTTCACAATCATGCCTTGCCTAATAACTTGCTTCCTTTACTCCTCCCTTTCTTTCTTCTGGTAAACAGTTTCCTCAGAAACTCAAAACCTCCATATTTCTTATGCACTACAATTGCTTGATATCTCGAGCCATTGCTTCTATCATTTTGCTCCAAACAATTAACCATGACATGAGGAGTTTGCAAAGCACTTTCTTTTTCAGATTCAACAAGGGAGGATCTCTGCGCATCTTCAGTACTTTTGCTTTCTTCATTTTCAACACTGGTTTGTATCCCTTCTTTAGCATCATCCTCGGCTAGCATTTGGTTCCGCAGTGAAGCTCGTTTGATCATGTTCTTCTTCTGAGATGGAATGTCTATAGAACCAGTTGTCGAGGCAACCTTGTCTAAAACTGCTGTTTCACTAGATGAAGCAAGTGCCTTGAGTTGCTTCCCAATGTTGATGATACTTTCTTGGCACTCTGCTAACTTCGACGAAGCTGACGTGATCTCCCAGCCCTGATTTTTTTTTCATTACATTTGATGAGTAAGTGTTAACTTCAAACGAGAATAAATATTAAATTGATAATCCCGACAATGGATATGACATAGCATGATAGCAATATGTAGAAAAATATTTGTAATTATCAGGAGTCAAGGACAAGATAGAGCATGCAAATTACTCACAGTTTGATATATCTTTTCTGCTTCGCATTTGCCATTTGTTGGAGAATCCTTCCTGGCAATGCTGTTACCATGTATGCAAAATCAGATTCATTAACCAGCGAAGGAAAAGAAAATCGCAAAATACTTGAAATCGAAAAAGGTGAAAGGTGTAAAGAAGTTTTTTTTCTTCCTGTTTACCTTTCCAGCTGGAGTTGAAGCTCAAGGCATGTTGCTTCTAATTCCTCGCACGAGCTCTTTTTATTCTCAAATTCAAATTCTAGCGACGAAAACTTTTGATAGATGTTGTTCAATTTTGCTTGCGCTATTGAAAGTTGTATGTCAAGATCTTCATTAATTGTCATCTGTTTTTCAACCTGCTCTTCAACCATAGCTTTCAATTCTTTCAATTTCGCTATTTCTGATTCTAAAACTCCGATGCTATTTTGCGCTTCATGACACTGTTTAGTCAAATGCTTACTCTCTTCAAATACTGACAGAAGCTTTACTTCCAAGTCTTTCTTCGCCGATTTTGTATTCGTCAGATCATCTTTTAGTTTTCTAATTTCTTCAACGAAATCATACCGACTAGTCTCATCAGACCGATCATCTGGATACGCAACGGAAGGCGTGCGAAAAGATTGTTTATCATCAACATCGATTTGATTTTCATTTACTGACAGAAAAGAGTTTAAGTGCTTCTTTATCTTATCCCTTGCAATCGAAGCATTTGTGGAGTTAGCGCAATTATTAATGCTCCAGTCCAAAGCAAATGCAACTTCCTCGACAAAATTTTCGAAGTCGGCTCTCCCTGTTAGTAAATTTTTGCAGGTGTGAACGAGTTGATGCAAAAGTGGATTCAGGTCTGAAACCTTCCATTGGAAAACATGAACAAAGTAATCTTTGGTTTTCGGTGATTGAGACGATACGTCTGAATTTTGATTCTCCGCCAAGCAATCTTGACCATTGTTGCAGATAAATGAATTTGGAGCAATTCCTTCAATGAGCTTGATGATTCTATGAACTGCTTCTACAAAACCACTGAAACTATTTACATGAGAAGAATCAAATTCTCCAGTATTTGTCGACTTTTGAGTTACATCGGATTTGCACGCAGTTGAATGATTTATACACCCGAGCGCGATTTTTATGTCATCAAATAATTCATCGAGACTTCGATTCGATATGCCTTTCTCCTCCAACATGGCATTCAGAACAATCTGAAGCCAATCGAATGGTTTTCTATTCCTCTCGCCAATGCCAAAATCTTGTTCAACCGGTACTATCTCCCTTCCAGTTACATCAGATAAGTATCCTCCTCCTTTCGGTGTATCAACCGAAACAATAGCTCTTTTGTCCGTCTCAACAAAATCATCCATTGAATACATGTCATGATGAACTTCTAATGCTTTATCGTTCTCGTAAATTTTAGCCTCCGAGACTCTTAAATGTTCGAGTTCTGAAATAAGCGCGTTCGCCCAGGATCCAGAAGAGAGAGCCTCGTCATCACTAGAAATGTCAAAATTCGACATCAAAGGAAGTTCATTTGACGCGGCATTAGACCTTGCTAGCTTCATGGACTTGTGATTTTCCGAAAACTTTCTAAGCAGAATCTCAGCCTGTGATAACCTCGAAGCTGTTTCACCATACATAAATCTCGAAGAGTCTAGTTCAGAGTTTTTCTTGGTTAAAACTCTCTTGAGTGCCTTGTTTTCTTCATCCAAATCTCGTAAACGTTTGATCATCAAGGCATTACTCTCCTCGGATACTCGTGTAGGATTTGAATTCTTTCTTCTCATATCCGTCTCTCTTCTCATCACTCCAGTTTCACTTCTCCTTCTTTGAATCACGAGACGGAGTCTCTGACACTCGGATTCTAACTCCGAGGCTTTATGAGAACTCTCTAGATATTGTTTGTGTGACGCGTCCGCGTACTGCCGACTATAGTCTATCTCCTCCTTCCGTATCTCGAGTTCCTTCTCCAACATGTGAAACTCATATCTCAAGAATGCATTTTCCTTTTCTGTCGAATCTAACCTTGTCATCAGTGTCTTAAACTCAGTATCTGCTTCTTGTTTACACCGAAGAATCTCCCCGATAGATTCCTCTTTGAAGAATAAAGCATTCGTTAAAGAAGTATTCTTATCAGTCAACTCATCTATCCTTTTATTTGCTTCCTTCAACTTCTCTTCCAATTCTTTCTGAACCTTCTCATGCTCTTTCGATATCTTTGAAATGGAAACACGCGGGGCTTCCTCTTGTTCTTCTTGAACACAGGCTAGTGGCTGCAAAGGTTCCTGAAATGTTCCATTTGTAGGAAGAACAGTTTCTGTTTTAGCAGACACTTCTACTCCAGCAGGAGAGTCAAGGAGGACTTCAGCCAACTTCTGGTTTAGACTTCGCGATGACCTTCTTGATCCGCGTTCCTTATCCGATGAAAGATTTTTTGCCTGATAAAATGTAGTATCAGAGTATATTAATCAAATTATACATTTCTCCAGAGAATAATGGCTTAACAGCTTTCTGGTTTGTAGAAAACAAGAGAGTGAAATCAAAAGCTTTAAGTATACCTCTTGTTCAATGACTTGAGAGGGACTGACAACTGTTTCATCTGCAAAGATTATCTTCTCTATGGATTTTTTCCTCCAATGCCATGGCTTGTGACTCATGATTCTTGATGCTATTCAAGAACAAAAAGAGAAAAATACACACATGTTTCCATGCAAATTTTTAGTATGTTGCACTTCAATTGAAACGTTGTTTTCAGTTAAAACAAACTTACAGAGAGGTTATAAACTGCCACAAAGAAAGATAAAAAAAAACACTGTTGCAAAAAAGTAGAAGAACAAGTACACTAAGAGGAGTAAAGAGAGCACAGTGCTAGAATTTGTACCTTGAAAAATGTAGCATGAAGAAGAAGAAGAAGAGTTTAACAGGTTTTGTAAGGCTTTTGGTGTTAAAAATGGTGTTAGGAGATGAAAGTAAAAGAAATGAGAAAAATGGAATGGCTGGTAGAAAAGTAGTACCAACGGACATTTGTCATAGGATGCTGAACATTTCCACCGACAACTACAAAACCTGCT